GACACTGTAAGTCAAATTAATGTTTAATAAACAGCAGTGAATAAGTAAAGCTTGATCACTTGAACACATTTAGTCCAGAAAGTAAGCTGACAGAAGGAGATAAATAGAGGAGTACACAAGTGGATATGATATGGGAATAGCAGATATAAGTCACACAGAGGACTAGTCTTACACTTTACACAGAAGGAAGAAAATCCTGGTTTAGCTCTGTGAATAGACATGTAAACTAAAATGACATAAATGAAATGGGTGCAAAGCACATTCATTAGGAAAAGCAAAAAATTCTGAAGTGAGGGCAAGTACCAGGTAAAGTCTTAGCAAAAGAATATACAACGGGGTAAGGGAAGTTTCTTCAATAAATGGTGCTGGGAAAACTGGTTAGAGATATGCAAAAAAAGTGAAACTGGACCACCTCTTACCATATACAAAAATAAACTCAAACTGGATTAAAGACTTAAATGTCAGACCTGAAGCCATGAAACTAGGAGAACACATAGGCACTAAACTCTTTGACACTGTTCTTTGTAATATATTTTTGGCTATGCCTTCTTGGACAAGGGTAAAAAAAGCAAAGAAAACAAATGGGATTACATCAAACTAAAATGTTTTTGCACAGTGAAGCAAACCATCAACAAGATGAAATACAACCTACTGAATTGGAGAAGATACTTACCAATGATATATCCAAAAACCAAAACATATAAGGTACTCATGCAACTCAACATCAGAAAGTCACTAGAATGTTTTCATCAATGTTTCCTCCTCTCTTCTGAGAAAAATGTTTTACATAATTGTAGTAAGAAATGGTAGGGTTGGTCACTGTTTGGCTTCTATTTGCTAACAGAAGTATTAGCCCACAATTATGTGTTTTTCAGAGTCACATCTTAAAACTCCTTACACAGCATCTCTCTAAATAACCCTTCAGCTGAAGTGTCTTGAAACAAGGCTTTTCGTTTTCCCTCAGTTGTTAAAACTCCCAAAGTGTTTCCTGCCACCATGGTAACTCCACAGGCCACCACAACAGGGTGCCCACAAAGGAGAGTGGGAATAAAGAAGCAATACACATGAACCCAGCCTTAGTTCCCATTAGTTCTTCTCCTATGATATACTGTACCTTTCACCACCAGCCCAAAATACCATTCCAATGAAGTATTAGGAATCAGAAAATATATGTATTAGTCAAGCTTTGGCTCAAGCAGGACACTTCTTTTTTAATTCTTTGTGTGTGTGTGTGTGTGTGTGTGTGTGTGTGATTAGAGCACTTTAGTAAGGTTACTCCCTCAATAGAATGAGCTTCTCAAATACCCATTTCTTTTTCTTTTCTTTAAAATTTATCTTTATTGTTGAAAGTATTACAGGTATCCCTTCCCCCTCAATTGACCTCCTCCAGCCACCCTGCCCTGTGGCCTGTTGCAGTATTGTCTATGTTCATGGGTTATGCAATATGCACATAAGTTCTTTGGTTAATCTCTTCCCAACCCCCCTCCCCACTTCCCTCTGATATTCATCAGCCTGCTCCATGCCTCCATGTCTCTGGATTTATTTTTGTTCATCAGTTTATTTTGTTCATTATATTCTACATATACAGTAAGTGAGATCATGTGATACTTATCTTTCAAAAGCATTTCTTTTTTTAATATATTTTATTGGTTTTTTACAGAGAGGAAGGGAGAGAGATAGAGAGCTAGAAACGTCGATGGGAGAGAAACATCGATCAGCCGCCTCCTGCACATCTCCCACTGGGGATGTGCCCGCAACCTAGGTACATGCCCTTGACCGGAATCGAACCTGGGACTCCTCAGTCTGCAGGCCGATGCTCTATCCACTGAGCCAAACCGGTTTCGGCAACAAAAGCATTTCTGATAACTATTTCCAACATCAAACAGGGATGGAGTGTCTCCCCTCACACTCCAGTGATGGTCTCTGTACTCCTCTAGGTGTCACCACTGCTTTTTTACCTGTTGATTTCTTCTCTGCCCTCTGCATTCTAAGCTTCTTAAAGAAAGAAACATATTCCTCATCTCAGAATTCCAAGGAACCAACACAAGTTCGAGGACCAACAAGTACTCAAATGTGAGATGAATTAATAAATTCATCAATTACTTTATTTCTGAATAAATAATTCTGCAGGCTATAGAGTTTGTGAAGAACTTTCACATTTACTGCCACATTTGATCCTAACAACATCCATGAAGTTCCCCTTAGGAGGGGCTAAAATTGTCCCCATCTACAGATGAAAACACTGAGGCTGAAAGAGGCCAAGTGTCTTGGCTAATGTCCCACAAGGAGCAGAAAAAAGATTTCATGAAGGTTTCTTATCTAAATGATTTAAACTCTCTCATTAGAGCCTTGCCTCTCGTATAGAGGATTGTTTGGGGCATCATGAATATTAAACTACTTTTTTGGGGTCCCTGATTTATAACACATGCTCACTCTAATCATGGGTGCTTGCATGCCATTCTCGGGTTTTATTTATCTGTTTTTTTATACATTTAATTCTTTTTAATTATGTAATCACTGGTGTGTACCTGTATATATCTTAATCTTTATTATGATAAAGATTATTTATTATGTAAGAGTTCATTACATAACTGACCTGGACTAAAGGGAAGCTCCAGGAGAGGAACATTCCTCCTGAACAATGCAACATATTCAGATAGTAACAAACTCTCAGCACTGATGTAAAACAATAATGTTGGTGTGTGCTTGAGCGAGAGAAATACCGTACTATAAAAGGACATTAAATCATGGCATCCTATATAATAAAAGCCTAGTATGCTAAGTATCCAGTCACCCAGTTGGCCATTCAACCAATCAAAGTGTAATCTAATGAAAGGAAAATAGGCAAATTGACTGTAACTTCGCCATGCCCCAAGCCATGCCCACCAGCCAATCAGAGCAACTATATGCAAATTAACCCAACCAGATGGCGGCCAGCAGCCACAGAGCTGGAGCAAGCAGGTGCTTGGTTGCCCCAGCGATGGAGGAAGCCAAGCTCCCCGCCTGCCTGGCTGGCTGTGGCCTCTGCTAAAGGCAACAAATTTTCAATTATAGAAAATAAATAAATCCCAGATACCTGCTTCCAGCCAGCCTCCACTGGGAGCTTGGGTGGCTGGGGGCCGTGGCTAGCCTGCAAACAGCCATCAGCACCTCACCCAGGCTGGCCAGGCACCCCAGCGGGACCCCACCCTGATCCTGAACACCCTTCAGGGTAAACCAGCCAGCCCCTACCCATGCACCAGGCATATAATAAAAGGGTAATATGCAAATTCGACCCTAACAGCAGAATGACTGGGAATGACTGGTCACTATGACATGCATTGACCACCAGGGGGCAGACGCTCAATGCAGGAGCTGCTCCTTGGTGGTCAGTGTGCTCCCACAGAGGGAGCACCACTCAGCCAGAAGCCCAGCTCATGGCTGACAAGCACAGCAGCAGTGGCAAGAGCCTCTCCCATCTCTGTGGCAGCGCTAAGAATGTCTGACTGATGGCTTAGGCCCACTCCCCATGGGTGTACGAATTTCATGCTCTGGGTCTCTAGTATGTACTAAAAAATTAATTTAATTTTAAAACTCCTCTCTTTTCTCCCACCCTGCCTTGCTCTTTCTTATGAGAAGAGATGTGCATGAATTTCCCCTCTGTCAACTCAACTACAAATTCTAAACAAAATTCACCATCAAGACCAGAAAGGCAGAATTTCAGATGAGCCTTCCTCTCTTTCCAAGTCATCCCTTACATTCCTTCAGGAAGGGACAAAGCCTTTCAATCCAGTTAGAGATGTCTTCCACCAAGAACTTGACTCACTGATGACTCTCAATAAATGTTCTAATTGACTTAAGAATTTCAGGCTGCAATCTTTAACTCCAGTTCATAGTTTTTATGGGGGTCTTTTGGTTAAAATATTAACATCAGCAAATATGCCCACTCCTAATGATACAAAGCCTATCTATCTTTGAGTTAGGGGAGGAAGTATAACAAACCGGAGACATGAAGTGCCTAGAATTTAAAGTAAGGTCATCCTCTATAAAAAATAAATAAATATTTAAAAAGGAAAAAAAAGTACCAAAAAGGCAAAGCAGCATGAGTTGAGGAAATCAAACTTAGATTCCATGATGCTGCTAAGGATAAGTTTAATTCATCATTAGCTTGGAGGAGCCAGTGAAGCATGTGCGCAGAGGTACTTTTTATCTCAAAGCTGCACACCCAGGTAGCTTCAAATGATTCATGAAGATTTTATTTTAGTCTTCAACACATCTGACTTCATATACTACTAAAGAAGCTATGTTCCTAGGATTCTGAGAATGGCTTAGACATGTAAAGATGGGTCAGTGAGCCACATTGAAAATTATTAAATCCTTACAACCAAAATTACCCTACCCAGCAAAGCTATCATTTAAAATTTAAGGAGAAATAAAGACTTTCTCAGACAAGACAAAGTTAAAGGAGTTCACCACCACCAAACCATATTACAAGAAATGTTAAAAGGTTTTCTTTAAGAAGAAGAAAAAAAAAGAGTAAAAATAAGAACAATAAAAAGGCAATAAATACATGTCTATCAACAATTGAATCTAAATAACAAAATAAATGAACAAGTAGAATAGAAACAGACTCATAGATACAAAGAACATTTTGTCAGATGGGAGGAGGGTGGGCCATAGATTAGAAAGGTGAATGGATTAAGAAGTACAAATTGGTTGTTACAGAATAGTCATAGGGATGTAAACTACATCAGAAGGAATTCGTCAATAATGTTCTAATAACTACATATGGTGTCAGATGGGTATGAGATTATGAAGATGATCACTTTGTAAGTTATATAATGTCTACGCTGGGTTTTATACCTGAAACTAATATAATATTGTATATCAACTGTAATTGAAAAACAAGAATATAAAAGTAAAGGAAATGATTAAGTATTGCTTGTAGTTTTAGGAATCCTGAGAAAGAGACAGACACACACGCAATCAAATTATGTTTAAATAAAAAAGCCAACACCTACACTCCAGTCCAGAGTTGCTCTGGGCTCCTTCGCTGGACCATTTGCCACAGGAAGACCGAGGGGATGAGCAGGAGTCAGGTGCTGCAGGCCTGCCCGGGAGATTGCTTTCCTGCAGCAAGAAAGACAAACACACAAAGAAAAAGCACATCAGAAGGTAGTACAGAGCAAAAAATTTCCCATGGGGTAGAAATGATGCATGAGTTAGTCTTCTACATGTGCAAACTGTATTGTAATATATCTCTTTAAAGTTCATGGTGAAGGTAGAAGGTTGGGAGATCTCGAAGATAAGGAGGTTGTGAGGGTCACTTTGGGACACTACTTCGGGACGACAAATTAAAATGTAAGTCCCAGTTGAAATTAGAGGCCAGGATGGGTTCGGTAGACACAATACTTGGACAAGTTTAAAGTTGCCAGACAGTAAAAGCAAGAAAAGCAGGCTCATGAGGTCTTCTATTGAAATTCCTCCACTTCCCAACCAAAGTGCTCTTCAAGCTGGCCACATCACCAAGTTTACTCTGGCGCCTCTTAGGAACATCCTTCCTTTCTCTGGAAGAAGATTTGTACAGGTAGCTCGAGGTTCTAAATGGGAGAAGACTGAGTTGTATCTGCCAAGAAATCTCAAACACTGAAAAACCAACATCTTACCAAGGTCCCGGCAAGAAAAAAATCTAGAACATGTTGTTTGGACGTTAGGTTTATTGAGTGGAACATAAAAGGGTTCAGGTGGAAAAGGTTAAGAAAGTCAGCCCTGACTTTGATCTGCAAAGATAAGAAATAAGAGGAGTCCCTTTAGCAAGCAACTATGACTATTGCTGAGAAAAGGAAAGGGAAGCAAGATAACAACTTGGGGAGAATGAGAAGAGCAAGATAGAAGGAGAAAGCAGGGTTCACCCAGGGAGATCCTGTAGTATCATCATGAATAACAGAGGTCAGTTTCCAAACATCTCCATCAAAAAACGCCAAACAAAGGTCTTCAGCTTAAATATGAGTGCTCAGGTGTGAATTAACTACTAGTAAGAGGCTCCTAGAAGGGCCAGGAGCTTTCCCTCTGCAGAAGTGACCAGATGTGCTCTGAGAATTACCTGAGCTAGAATTAGGTGGATCTTGTGACGCTGCAGCTTTGAGTCCTCCTGATTAGTCTGAGGGTGAGGCCCGGGAATTTGCATTTACAAATGCATATTTCTTCTGTAAGTTAAAAGTTTACAAATGTCTCTATGGGTATGTGAAAGGATTTTAATCTAAAATGGAACTGGAGAATATGAAATGGAGAATCTCACACATGAGCCCTCAGGAAAAATAAGAACTGAGAGACTGATTTCCCATAAATGCCTGATTTATAGGAGAACGAAACTTATCCGTGGACCAATGATCATTTGCCAAGAATCTCTTCCCACCCTTCAGCCAATGAACTTGCTGTTTGGACTCTGGCTAGGCTCGCATCTCCTAGCCGCTTTGCCCATAAAAACAGCTCACCCCAAACCATTAACAGACTCACCTGTAGCTTGCTACAGTCTGTGTGTCCTGAATTGCAATTCTCCTGCTAGTCCCGAACAATCTGGTAATTCGATCTTGGGTCAGTTTACCTCTTAATTTAGGTTGATAGGGCAGGTGGAAGAGCACTAACTTACCCAGGCCCATCAAGGGGGAGCCCTGAAGGAAATCATCAGCAAGTTCATTGTGCACTTCACCCCATTAGCTCTCTGCAGCCTGTTTCATAGAACGTGAACATCTGCCATCTGTTACTGAACCCACAGCACACCAGTCCCCTGAGAGGCCCAGACCCTCAGACTCCTTCACCCATCTCACTCTACAGAGAACCAAGGTTCCAGACAGTGAGACGGGGAAAGACAGGCAGTGATGCCCAATATATGGTGAATCCCATCAACTGAGCCATTGAAGGAAAAGGAACTTGCCGGGGTCAAAGAGAGGAGTGAGAGCAGGATCTAAAAGCGTCCTGGGCCCTAGAAGGCAGATGATCTCACTGTACTGTTCACAGAGCCCTACAGACTCCACCCAGAAGTAGAATTTATAAAGTTGAGAGAGATGAGCAGCGGCCCACAACCTGAAGAAAAGCTGGGCAAGAATCCAGAAATGAACCCAGGACTGTGCAGCCACTAGTCAACAACCCACACATGTGCCCTGAGCAAGTATCCAGCCCTTAATATACTCATATTCCTGCCCAGGAAGTCCCAGAATAGCGTCTGGGTCTTCGGTAGTCAGAAGTGATCACATCAAGCTTGCCCGTAGCTGACTTTCGGAAGCTCCCACCAGGCAGCAGGCAATGTGCTTGCTTTATACAAGCCCCGACAGAGTCATTACAAGTATGTGGGCCTTTAATGAAGACAGCCTGAGGACATGAGGTTCTCTTTCCCCACTTTCACCAAAGCAAATAATTAACAACATCAATTTGGCCCCTCACCCCAAAGTATATTCTATTTTATTGAGCAATAAGAACAGAATGCTGGCCTCGACAATAAAGATAATTTTTTTAATTCAGAAAACAAAGAAAAGAATACGGGAGGATTCTTATATGGTGATCCTTTATCCCTCCAAGTGTTTTCTTCCACCTGAGTTCAAGGAGCTTCTTTAGCATTTTTAATCGGGACTTTTCCCTGGCTTTGAAGGACTTGGTATAGTGATTCTGAGTTAGTTTTCATCACTGAAAAAAATCAGATCTCTGTAGAGTCAGAATCTACAGGTTTCACCACAACCTACTGTCACAGTAAAAAACCACAAGACAAATGAGTTTAACTCATGAGAGGTCGTAGACTGGGACAACCAAAACCTGACTACTCTTCCTAATTAGGACCGCCAGGAGGGGCATATTGTTCAAATAATCAAGTTAGGAGGCAAGGACTGTATGAGTCTGTAGGAGAGCAGTGGGGCTGTACAATGAGAGACATACAGACATTCAACCCTGGCTAACTCCTGCAATGAAAGTACAGTCAAGTCACACTCCTTCCCAGCCTGTGAATATAAATGATTAATTACGGGCTTTGGTGGATTATTTATTCCTCATTGTGGAAGCAAATTTAAGGGTGGTTTTCTGTAACATTAATAGAAGAAAACTGTGCTACCTACTACACATATAAACATCAATTAGGGGGAATATAAGTAAGAAATATCAAAGTGGCTGCCAGTTTGTAACTGTAAATGGGCCTCACCAAAGGTCATTACATAAGAAAGCAAAGAAGAGAAATATATATGGGGGATGGGAGGTAACTTCTCGTTACAGCTTTCCGTTCTTCTAAATAAGCATGGGAAAAAATATGTTGTTGCAATAGTTCACTTATGTATACACATTTTCTTTCAAAATAAGAGTAATTTCATCATTTCTCAGACCTTCAATAAAATTAGTATGAGTTGTTTTTCTATTTGGATTCATTTTGGTTGACAAGATGACATTTAAGAGTCTGGCAGAATTTGGTGTGTCCTGGGGTTGGTGTATGTATGTGCAGGGGGGACACAGGGATTTTATGTTTCAACTTACTCCAATACAAAAATCAATGGGGTTTCAATTTCTCATTCTTTTCTTCTGCTCAGAATCCACTCAAACCCACAGTCAGTAAAACCATGAAATGCCAATGACTCTATTATATTAATTTTATAACACTTTGTTGGGGATGAACTATAATGGCAAAAATATCTTTGAAATGAAGAAAGTGCAGGGAAAGACCTTTAACATATTTCAAGTGTAAAAGCCATCAAGCATTTTATATAGCATTCTATTATTTCCTTCACTTCATTCAGTCCGACTATAAACTCCTAAAGGACAGGGCTCAATTCATCTACTAATCTTGTTACATTCTAGCCCAGGGGTAGACACAGCATAAATTCAGTAAATGCTTTCTGAGTTCATGAATGAACCTGACCAAGAAGCTAAGCAAAACAGCTAGCTTGATTAGATCAGTGGTTGGGAAATCTGATTAGGATGATCTGAATTATATTCTAGGCCTCACCCTTCAATGATATTCTTTCTTGAGAGGGCCAGAAATCCTTCAATGCAGCTCTTTAAAGATAAAGACAAATAGGGACAGAATTTAGCGTTTACCAGTAGAAGCCTAAGACATCAAAATGGCTTGGTAAAAAAAAAATTAAAAAAAAAATGGCTTGGTCGTCAACATTAAAATGGAATCCTATTGCTACAACATTAGTACAGGGCATGTGGTAGTGTTAATACCTTTATAATGTCTTGATTGAAAGAAATATGTAGCATAGACTCTTCATAAAAGAAATATTGAAAATTGTACGGGAAAGCATGTAAATAAGTGGTTATTTAACAAAGATTCCCTCTAATTATCCATTTTGGTTCTACTCGTCTTCTGGGTTTATAAGGCTCCCACATTCAATCCATCCCCATCTTGCCAACTCCACCACCCGGTGACTCGACCTGTGAGGAGAGAATGAGGAGCTCACGTGCTAAGAGGAGAAGCACCAGAGAATCAGGAGGTCCCCTTAGCCAGGAAATTTCCTGAGACAAGCGATTGACACATTAGAGACTGGCAAACTCATCTTCTGGTTCTACAGAAGGAACCAGCAACTGAAAAGTTTCTCTGTGCGTTGGTTTAATTCCCCAAGTGTCTCAAGAGAGATCTTAATCACTGTGTGTGTAGGTGTTTTCACCCACCCACCGCCCCCCATCCAATATTGCCCTTAACTTTGATTATATTCAAAGCCACCTGCAAGGTTAAGGACAGTTCCCACAATAAAAAACAATTGTCCCAAACCCCACACAAATTCCAAATATCCCACCAGTGATTCATGTAAGGGAACAAAACGTATGTAATTATTTGAAACCAAATCCTAACCCATATTCTATATGAATTCAAAGCATTTATTGATGAAAGGATTTTCAGTCATTCAGAAGATCGCTTTTGCTATTGAATCTTCAACACAATCAATATGCCTATACGATTCTACTTTTAATCAAGAGGTCCCCTTAGCCAGGAAATTTCCTGAGACAAGCGATTGACACATTAGAGATTGGCAAACTCAGCTGTTACTCACAGCGACTCTCCAGCAGTGGTGCGCAACCTTTGTCTGTGGCGGGGACTGAGAACCAGTCTATGTAAAGCATTCCAATCTCTCCCTCCAGGGAGCAAGCTCTAGCCTTGCCATTCCCTTCCCACCCATCTCCCCATCATTCCACCCCTACTCCTACCCCTGTCCCTGGCACTCAGGCACCTTACCATTAACTTCCCAATTCCCAAGTTCCAAGGGCCCTTTCTTTACCTTCATAACTTGTTTCCCAAGCCCATTTCTTCTAAGAATTACTTCTCCTACCTCTGTGATTTACCCAATCAATGTTCTCTTACAGTTAAATAAATAAATAAATAAATAAATAAATAAAGCAAGCAAGCAAGCCTTCTGGGTATTTCTAATGTGTATCCCAGGAAGAGAACCCTGTTCAGACGACTTCATTATGCTACTAATGTAGCTAAGTCCTGGCACTTACATACTGAAATATATTCATCCATTGAACAATGTATTTACTGTATGTCTATTTTATTCCAAGCACTGTTCTAGACATTTAAGATATATGCATGAATAAAACAAACATAAATCGCTGTCTTTGTGAAGCTAACATTCCAGCAAAAAAAATACCTTCTGCCAGTGTTGAATCATTTTACATAACTTATATACAGTATTCTTTACAACAATGAGATTGGTACTTTTTATTATCCCCTATCTTATATATTTAAAAATGGCAGCAAAGAGTGGTTAAGCTACATGTCCAAGATCACATGGCTAGGAAGCGCTCCACGTGAGATTTGAATCCCAGCTTCTAACTTCAGATTGTACATACTTAACCGTTACACAAATGAAATGCTAACCGCACACACATACATAGCAAAAGAGACACACAATACTATACTACTTTTCTAATTGCCTCAAGGATAAATGTCCTATCTCTACAACAAGAATGTATGTTTCGCCTAGAGAGAGGACAGTGTCAAGGTAACCCACCTTATCTTAACAACCAATCACCATCTATGTAGTCAAGGTGCTTAACCTCTCTTAGCCTGTTTCCTTCTTTGTAAAATAAGAACACTGTTACCCGACTCGGAGAGTTGCTGAGATCATTGTTTTTTAATGTGTGCTGGGTGCTTGACATAGTAAGCACCATGAAGAGCCACTGCTATCACTATTCTCGTTCACATACTGGCAGCCCCCACAGCACCAAGGCAAAGCTGGGTATAAGGTAAATCTCTGAATAAATATGTGCTTGTGTGATTGCTCTCAAATAGTCCACGTTCTCTGGACACTTCTTCTCCCTCGAACATTTCACAAGCTCCTGTTACGTGTCAGGCAGTTCAGAGGGGTTACTCAAACAGAAGGTTCTTCTCTAGCCATGGGAAATAATTCCAGGGTTGCAAAGGAGTCGTTCTTTCCCCCCGACTTGCCTGCCTGCCTAATGCAAAATAAAAAAGCACCACATTCTCCCCTCAGACAAACTTACCAACATATTTAAAAAACGCAATCCAATGCCAACGAAATTATTATTTGATTATATTCATGTAAATGAATGCAACACCAAAAAAGCATTTTGGGGTTTGTTGGTTTAATCTGTAAAGCAGACTGGCTGGTAAATGCCCCTGAGAACTTGTAACCTCATCTATTAGACGGGATTTATTTCC